GTGCTTCAGTGTGACAACTGTTTTGCCTCCAAATGCACCACTAAGAGATATTGTTAACTTGAGAGAACCAACAACACTGCCTGGCAGAAATAAAGCGAATGTCACAGCAGTCATTAAATATTTCTCACCTCAAAAACAAAAACGTGGGAGGAAGAGTTTACCTAACACACAATCTGGGAAGTTTTCCAAAATCTTTGTTTAAGAAGTGTTTAGTCTGACACAGTTCCCTCCAAAGCCCTAGAGAGATGCTAGAAGTATCCATGTGAGGATAATGCATGAATGAAAAAGACCTACTAAAATCCTGTTCCAAACTATGGTTCATATCACTTTGTTTCAACACGTATCTGCACTGCAACCACTGCAACGCCAATACAGTGGATTGCACGACTGTCTTTCTCAGCACATTCTTACTGGATGACACTTTACATGAAGATACGTGAAGTCTGTATAAGAAGACTCATCTGTCACACATATCTCTTTTGTAAACCCAGGATTGCTCTATATTTTCTTCCTATGTTGTTCTTTTTTGAAAAAATAAAAATACCACTGATGACAGGAGACTAGATGAGAAGGATATTTGATCTGATTTAATATGGCAATTGCTTGCTCAGCTATTTTATTAATTGATACTGTTAGTATAGCTGTAATCAGTAACTAGAAATTGTTTGTTGCCTGATACTCACAACCAAGGAGTTGCAGGCCTGCTGCTGCTTCGTCCGGTCCTTTCCAGCTGTTCAAGTAAGTTTTTTCCTTTTTTGTTTCCTTTAAAAACAAACAAACAAATCCCCAAACAAACAAACAAAACAACAAAAAAACCCACCAACTCCTGACTCTGTCCAGTTATTCTCTGCATCTAACTGCTCCACAGCATGTCCAGCTCAGCCTGTGTGTAATCGGGACCAAACCTCCTCTGCTGCACTTCATATTTCATTGCAATTTCCTTTTGAATCAAATCTTTTGACTGCAACTCCTGGCTCAATCTAGCAGTTCTCAGAATCAATCCAGCCACTATCATGCAATATGCAAATCAAACTTTCCGTACTTTTGCAGTAACCTCTCTAGCCTCCAAATAAATCAGGTACACTTTGTATGATTTCTTGTTTTGATAGACTAATTTCCCCTTATTACAAACTCAGATCAAAGCATTGCAATCGACTCACGATCATTGTCCAGGCATGTTGCTCTTGCATTATGGAAGCAAACAATGCAAGTGGAAGATGTGGTTCCATCAACAGCCCAATTCCTAAATTTAGTTCCCCTGTCTCTTTTCAGTCACAGCTTTTTGAGGGTAAGCTGTGCTATCTCACAATGATTCTTCACTCACACACCCCTCCCCTGTACACAGGGAAACCTGACAGTGTTGCACCCAGGCAGTCACCAGCTCCCCAGAGCATTGCTGTATGGCTAGTTTATTCACATATTCAAGAGGTAAAGAAATACGCTCTGTGGATTATCCCTTGGGGAAAACTAGTGGAAGCAAGAGGTCTAGAGAAGCATAAGAAATACTGTTCTGTCTTGAAATTAGTAACAACAGAACAGAAAGAGTAATAGTTCCTTATGCACTCTCTTCCCCAACAGACTTGTGGTGTCAGGTCCAACCCAATCCAAAGGATATTTTTCCTACAGAGAGGTAGAGCTGCACATCCACTTAATTCCACCAATTATTTACACTCCAAATTAAAACAAAACAAAACAAAAAAGTACATCACTGAGAAACTATAAAATATCCCTCCTTACTTAAATAATCCATTTCTAGTTGTCTCAGAAATTATTGTTTTAACCTCTACATGCCTTTAAGCAAATTGAAAGTACAGAACTGAGCAGACAGGTTCAGGAGGCAGAGGAATAAAAATGAACAACAACACATTATCCTGCCCCAGTGACCTGTTTGTCTCTTTTTATTGTTTATCTCTATGATTTAGGTTTATTTTGTATAATATTATTATTTTACTTCTTTTTAAGAAAGTAGAATTTCAATGGAATAAACTTTCTACTTTATAATTTCTTAAATACAATGAAATGTAAATGTACACAAATTCAAAACTGCACATGTAATCAAATAAATCTAAATAATCTCATCTCAAATCTTCACCTTTTCAAATGTTAAAATGTTCACAATATTAAAATGTTGATTCTGTGCATGTAGCAAACAGACCAAAACAGAAAGACATGACAACAAACTGCCTGTTATCCAATGTGACAACTATGTTTCTCACTCAGAATAACCAGTCTCTCAGAAGAGTAATGTATATCAGAGATTCTCTCAGTTTTCATTCGTACACTATCTCAATTTCTCCAGGGAAATTATCTTTGAACAACTTATCACTCTGCCCTTGGAACCATCAAACTGACATTTGACAAAACTGCGGAAGGGTCGTAAGTTAAATTTAAAACACTGTTAAACCTTGCCTTACGCATCTCATTGAGCTCTATAGCCTCCCACGGAAACAATTAGGAAGGCAACATCAAAGACTAGTGGGAAAATCTCTAGCATGGTCAGTATATTATACATGGAAAAAATGTACATCTCCTCTTTATTTACAGGCAGAAAAGTTTGGGGAGTATATAATCTGCTCTAAGCTAAATGAAAACAAAAAGTTATTGTACTGATTCTTGTGCTCAGAACATTTTTTATTGTACAGGTAAATGCACATGTCAGGGGTTACGCCAATATAATCCATTTTCTTGTTTGCCATCAGTATCAATAGACCCTCATGTTATAAAACAGATGCATACCTGTGAATAAAATGACAGCTAAGAATATATTGATTAGCAGAAATTAAAGAAATTAATAATTCTGTTTCTTAAATTAAGTTTTGACCTTAACAGCAGTTCAAGATGGAAAAACTTAACACTTCACTGAAATCCCACAATAAACTCTAATCATACACTACAACTTATCTAGGACTCTAGGGATGAAAGTTGGCAGAGTTATGAGGACAGTTTGCTTCAACAAGGTCAGTTGGTTCTTCAGGTCAATAAAACATAACAGAAATTGCACCTCCAACTGCTGAACAAATGTTTCTGCATACCAATCATTGAATTCCAGTGAAATCAACCATAATGACAACCACATAGCATAATACCTTTCTTTAAGCTCTCTCTGGCTAAAGAGATTTTCACCCAATGTTGAGTACATTCTGATAGAAATGCCAGAGTGGTCACATTCAGACAATAATTTCATCATAGCCAACTCCAGAACAAACGCACTTAATTACAGGAAGAAAGAGAGTTTCTGAAAATAAATTAAATATTTTTATAATTCAGGTGTAATAACTGTCCATTCAAGTACATAAAAATTGTGCTTGTAGTAGACAGACAATAAAGTGTTAATCTGATTCGTTACTGCAATCAACAAGCCTCGAGTTTCAGAAACAAAATTTTCCCGCTGGAAAGGGGTTGTGATGTGCCTTAAAGCACATCAGGAAAACATCTCTCTTATCTCATCAATCTTTTCATAATGAGCCATCTTTTGCCATACAGTTTGAAGGCATCCATGAAGACTTCCCTGACACATCTGAACCGTGAAAACTGAACTGTGATTGGTTTTGAGACTAAGATACTAAAAAACTCTCCCAGACTGGCAAGCTCTGTTTCTATATGAAAAATACGTGCAAAAAATATACTATAGACATAAAACATATATTGATACTAAAAATTCTGAAAACCCCAGATCTGAACACATTATAAAAGCAGATTGGACATTTGCCATGATTCTAGTCAAATGTGCTGCATGGCAACCTGATACCTGGAACCATATCTGCAAATGCAAAACTTTGGTAGCTGAAATCCACCTGGAAATTCTTTGCAGTATACACCCTCCTTTATACTCCAGTCTGATCGATCTATGAAGTAATCACTTTCCACCTTGATACTGACTGAAAACCAGGTCTGTTCCTGCCTAAAGTAAAGCTCCATCAGTCCAGGAAACAAAACTTTGTGCAAGTTTCAATCACCAGTTTCAGATATTGAAATATAAGACCTGAGCCGAAGAGTATAGAACTGTCTTAAACACCTGTCACAGGAAAAAGAAAAAAAAAAAAAAACACACACCACACTGAAATGAATGGGGAAAGGAAGAAGCAGATGAACCTGCAGTCCAAACCATATAAAGTTATTAGTTTCTAAAATACCAAGTAGATATTTTAAGACTTCACTAATTTACACTTTACAGCCATTCGTAAACATGATAAAGAAAAATTACCATCAAAGCCTACTAAGATTAAAAAAATGTTGACTAGATCAATTTTTACTTTCAAAAAGCACCACAAGACATGTAGTAACACTTAATAAGATGATAAGATTACTGAAAAACAGTGGGCAAGTGCAAACACTAGCTAAACTTATCTAAAATCTGGAAGAAAGAAAAACATGAATCTTACTAGACGATGCTATATACAAACACAGCATATAAAACATACACATACATACACCTCCCTTGCAGTCATGTGCTGGTCCAGAATCCGGCCAGCAGAAACAGCTAGAAGTTTCTGAACCAGAAGCTGAACCACTCCAACTCATCCTATTATGTTTGCAATAACAGTAAAATGCACGATAGTAAAGTCTTAAGAGTAAGTCTCTGATCTTAGGTATAAATCTCTCTGTATACTATTGTTATAGCTCAATCCACTACCTACTGGGTTGGACTGTCCACCAAAAACTTATCCCCAATGTTGACATCCCAAAACAAAGATATTAAAAGTAAAACTGAAAGAACAAAAAAATCTTCACACAAAACAACATATGAATTGAATTTGTTGTTAATAAACATTTTTTCTTACAGATTTTTGACAAAAGCATTCATTTACTCTAAAGTTTCTGATCTGGAAATGGAATGACCAAAAACTTCACAATAGGGACAAGCAGAATAAAAAACAAAACCCCAAAGAAAGACGAACAGAAGTTATTAATATGGAATCGACATTGCCAAATAAATGAAGCATCAATGAAAACCTTCATTGTGGGAGGAGGAATTAAGTAGGAGAGCAGAAAATACTGACCTGGAAGTCAAGCTGGTTGGAGTAGGGATGAAAGCAGCAGTTTGGAGAAAAAAATAGGGAGGAAGACAGCAAAAGAGAACAAAGGGAGGAACACATTAGTTCTTTAAAAATATAACAAGCAGATGTTACATCAGCAGATTTTATTCAAAAAAAAAAAAAAAAGGAAAGGAAAGGGAAGGGAAAGCGAGACATAAAATAAAATCTCTGTAGCAGTATATCCTTGCTGTGCACTGAATACGAGAGACATTTTAAAGTAAAATGGCATCTTGTCATTTGTGGACTGTGGAAAGGCATCCATATTTATAACCACCCAAATGCATACACACACTGAACGGAACAAATAAATTAGATGAATATTAGTAGTGTTTGCTGCCACACAAATGTCTCATCATATGCTACAAAGTCTTTTTTTGAACCAACATAGGTTTGATGACCCACATTCATCAAGTCTTCTCATGAAAGTCAAAACAATCTGGCAGCTTGTTCAAAGATACCATTTAGAAGTTCACAAGGCACGGTACCTAATAATCAGAGACAGAGGTTTGACCCTTCCCCAGGAAACACAGCCCCTTCTAATGTTGACAGCATTTTTTTTTCTTTTCTTCAGTCTGAAGAATAAGGTTAATACTTCACCACTGAAAATATTCCGATGCTTGATAACTTACTTGTTAAAAAATGCCTAACATGCCCTTTCAATTAATACAGAGAAAAAAAACTTCCAGCCTGATACCCAGCTAGATTAATCCTTAAAGCTGTCACTGGTGCACAGTTTTTCATTCACTTATGAACGGCAAATTTTTTAAAAGCCACAAAAATATTTTTTATTGAATGCAGTTATTACATATGCTGATGTTTTGTCATTTATGCAACAAATTGTCAGTGCTCTGTGGACTTATTTTCATCAGAATTCCAATCCAAATCAATTCATAATTAATTAATTGTAGTCAGAACACGACAAGATCCTAAATGCGTACCTATAATGTTATTACCCAAAACTTACCACTGTATATGAGAAGCGGATAACAAAACCCCAAACTTGTTTAAAAACAGACTGGTTTTGTCTCATAGCTAGTACAGTATTTTTAAATTAACTTCCATATTGTTCTAAGCTTTGCTGAGAACTTACACTTAATCATGCAAATGACTGACCATCAAACATACTACTGGAGAAAAGCAGATCCAACATTTTGCAATCTATACTATGATCTCATCACTTTCTCTTTTCAGTCCAAATTTATTCACGGATAATTTATATCCATTGTTTTATGTGCCACACTTTTACTGAAATCAATTTTCTTTCACCGCAGTGCTTACCCCTTCACATATTTATAAAGAGCAAGCATCCCTACCAAGCCTTTGTTTTTCCAGAGAAACAAACCAGTGTTGTTTAGACTCCTCCTGTGACAGGAGCACGCCATTCCTTTAATTACCCTACCAGTCCTCTCTGCACCTGTTTCCAGTTTTCATTCAGCCTTCCCAAATATGACTGATGAGAAGTATACAGCACTGTTCCACATGGAGGCTTGCTAGCTCTTGATGACATTAATACCTTCCTATCCTTACTGCAGACATTTATTCTGACATATCAGGATTCACACCTCATTATTTAGATGTCTGCTTCACTATTTAGATGGCTCATTCTGACACTGCCATAAGCAAATTCACCCAATCTTTCTCTTCCTAAACTGCATCAAGGATTATCCTTAGCTTACAGCAGGCAGTCTTAATGGTCCTAACTTCACAAGCATGCATTTTGCACCATTGCATTTCACTTAATTCACGATTCAAACTCCCTAGTGTATTTCATAAATATACTTTTCATTATAATACCATCAAGAAAAGCATTAAACAATATAATCCTTCCACCCTGACAGTTCCATGTCAGCTGCAGTTACCCCTCTTTGGTTAGGCCCTTCACATTAAAATTTAAGCTGATCACTACCTTCCCCAGTTCCATATACACTATTGAAAAAAACCCCACACATCAAGAAAACCAGAGAAAACCATCAAGCTAAATTTACCAAAAGTACATTATGCTGGCGTATATTGCATTTAACTTAAACCCGTTCTCATTATAAACAGATAAATCATGAAAGATGTAATAAAAGCGATCAAACAGCTTTAGTATAGGAGGAGGAATCGGTTCTTGTATGTAGTAATAAGAAGATAAAAAATACAAAAACAATATATATGGAGTAATTTAGAAAACAGAACATGTTTTTATATATGAGGAATAGTAGGAATCTTAAGCGATGCAACTCAGAAGTGTGATAGTTTCTGAGGCAAGAAAATCACAGTAAAACCAAAAGAATTACCATTCATATGAAATCTTCAGGATTATTAATAATGCTCATCTGCCAAATAGCATACACTTACAAATTTAGTTGCCCATATCTTGAAGCAGGTATTTCTACCATTTAGTATTTGACACTTTCTGTGTTAATACTTTCTGACCAAGAGTAGAATATTAGTATTCATCATCTTGTTTTAATTCTTGTTTGAATTTGTAAATAACTTTATTACAAACATTTTTACTTTCAAACTGATTTATAGAAGTGCACCCTCATCATGCTAATGAATTTATATGTGAACATAATAAATGTTGTGAAGATACCATAGCTTGCAATACTCTAGATTATAACTCCAAAATTTATGTTTATAAATTTTAAGAATTTGTGTTGTTGCAATTATCTTGCTATGTAAAAATGTTGGCGTAGCAGTGAACATGGATCCCAGCAAGCTATAAACCAACAAATACATTTAAAAGAGCATTCCTATTTCTACAAAACCCGAGATGCCCTTGCATCTGAAGTTAGGGGAAGTGTTGAAGATACACTGTTTCTGAGCAAGAAAAAAAAGGAGAAAAAGTAAGGAGAGAAAACAGCAACCTAACACGCGTTATATGCATTACAAAACAGTGGGGCAAGAAGGAAAGAACATTTTCAAATATGTTTTTGTTACAGTTGCAGTCATTTTCACAATGCTTTATTCCCATGAAGTGGGTAAACTGAGCTTTGGCTCCACCCCTTTCCTTCAATAATAAGCCAATCAAGTAGTCATTACAAGCACAGAAAGCAGTAGCACTTCATAAAATGTTACAGCAATTTACACTGCACCTCATCCCCTAGAAAGGGGAATTTCAACATCAAAATTCACTCTCTAGGGACACCAACAGGTGGCACAGTTACATACAGATTTAGATCTTTTGGCCAATGTTTTCAGAAAATAAAGATGAGGGAGAGAAAATACACTAAATTTTAGAGAAACCTAAAGTGAGCCTGATTACCAAGAAGGGTTAGTTATCCACTCTCTAAAAGTATTTCCCTATTACACCTTTATGTTGCTGGCCTTGCTAATCAATGAATTTGTGCCTGTGTTTATGCATGGTGGAAAGTGGCTTTAAGACATCATTACCGAGTAAAGGCAGTAACTTCTGTTAATGAAATCAATAATAGATAATTTTTATGTAAATCCCTTTTTTTCCCTAGTTTACAATAATTAACTTATATACTGTGTGTATACGAATTTGGAATTAATCTTGAAAACTGCATATAAATTAAATCAAGTGAGAAACTGCGCTATAGTTAATAGAATTCACCAACAAATCTTAGAGCATGATGATTCCCCAAAATTGCAACATACTACTGTCCTTAGCTGGTTATGCCACAGGTATCTTATTGTAAGCCTTACAGAAAAACTTAAAGATTAATACCAAAGCTTAACTCCATCACATTCAAAGCACATCATATCCTGTTCAAAAAGTCTCTGCTTACTCAGTGGTACCAAATTATTTTCTGAAAAGTTATTTCAGGATCAAAACGCTCATCAACAATAACGGACTGGAAATTAGTGTCCCAAAATTTCACTGATAAAAGTGCATAGAATTTTCAAAAATAATTAGTACAAAACAGAAAATTCCATTCATTACATAACCCTCTACAGGGTTCTTGGACAGTAAGAAGAGGTTTTATAATTATATTTTAAGATAAAATTAAGATAAAATATTTAAATCAAATTAACGTTTACTAAAAAATTTAGATCACAAGCTTCACTACTTCATCATCTTTTAATCTCGTTACTTTAATATTCAACCATTGAACACATATGTGATTGCTACTTAATAAATCTCTTGAGATTATCCTCTTGAACAAACATTTAGCATGCCTACTATTGTGTCCAGTGTCACACAATAATTCAGTAGGTTTTATAGCCCATGAGGATATCACTTACTGTTTCTCTAAAAACTGTACAGTCAGTTTCCACCAGCTTGGTTACACCTGAAGTCACTATATTACAAGCTTAGGTCTGTAATTGCCCCAACAGTACATGCACGGACGGTTGGAATAGGCAGCACTTTGCCAACTGCACGAATCCACTAATCGTGTTATCTTTTTCCAACATGCTGCTTTAGGATTTTGGAGAGTTTAGGCAGAACTCACAGTCATGGTGCATAAAGTGACCACTCTTCATTACTAGCTTCCTCTGGTATCTACTTTACAAGTTAGAATTGGTGCAAACACTAGAGTATTCTAAACTCCTTCTGATGTGGTGAGAGAGGTAACTGCTAATTAATGTTGTCATGTAAACTCTCAGTTCTATTTCGAGCACAAATCTTTTTTCACTTTAAATTTGACGTCTCAGTTCTCATGACACTTACATAACTATATACCATTCATTATTATCATTATTAAACATTTGCCAAATGTCTGCAAAGATAAGTTTTTGCATCAGATAACTGTGAAGGTTGATGAGTCACCAGTAAAAGATGTTCTGCACATCTTCCTATCCAAGCTGGTGGCTTTCCTCCCCCTAAGGTAACCAACATTTCCTGCAGATCTTCCCCTCTTTCATGGTAATTCGCCCTAATGGGACAGAGCAGTGCTATGTCTTGACTGGAACTATAGCAATAATTACAACAATGAGATCCCTTAAACATCTCTTTTGGAACCAAGATCAAGTGACTTGATCACTAGAAAACAATAAAGTAGTTGATAAAAAAGTTCCTTCTTTCATTTACCTAAGACTGGGTAAGTACAGGAAGGGAACAAAGAAATCAGATCCATATAAAGTGCTTATCAATCAAATACATTGCAGCATACTGCATGGGAGAAGGTTCCAAGAATCACTTAATTATGAAGGGCACGAGACAAACGAATCTTCAAACCCTCCTGTCTCCATTAATGAAAGACTGCACAACCTTGCCAGAAGTAAGATAAACACTACCTGGTTAATGTCAGAAAATACTCATTTGAAGCATTCAAAGACTACAGAAACACTGAGAAATAGTTACAACTATTATTAAATAGTCACTACACTAGTTAGAAATACTTATCAATACTTTTCAGGACCTGAGAACTAGTGATGCTGTTCACACTGAAGAAACATGTCTGGTGACAGTTTTGATTCACCAGTTGCTAGAAAGACAGGATTGTTCCCCGACACTGTTTTCTGGGAGGGTTGTTATCACTGTAAATTGCATATGGCTTTTCCTCTATGTGTTCCCTTTTATGGACACTACTAAAATGTGGAAACTTTAAATCGTTCCGAAGTTGCAGACAGGAGATGCAGTTCTCACATAGTCTTTTTTTTTTTTCAATTTCTCATTCAATTTTACAAGACAATAAATATTCATTAAAAAACTTATTCTATTTTGCTCTGCAATGAAGATCAAGTAAATAAAAACATCACTCAATGTAAGACAAATAATACAAGAATTACCTTTCTAACTCAGCAATTTTCTTATCTTTGTCATTCTTCTCATTCTCTACTTCCTTGAGTATTTCTAGAAGTCTGTCAACCTCAGCCTGAGCTTTGCCACATTCTTCTCTATAGTACGATGCCTCTTTGTCAAGCTGTTTCATTCTATCTGCAAATTCTGGATTCATCCGTGCCTCCTCTTCAGCCTCATGAGCCTTCAGAATCAACATTTAAAAAAAAAAAAAAAATAAGGATGACAATAATTTATACAGCTTTAAGAGCTTTACTTCTTCAGTCTCGAAGTGCAAATTTTCATTAAAAAGGATTATGGGTATTTCTGTCCAATGACAATATTGTCTAGAGAAGCATTATGAAAAGGAATGAAAATATCTTCATAGTCTAAAATTACGGTCAAATGCTATTGTCCTGAAGGGAGAGGGGATTTATTAAGGTTTTTTACATACTAAAGTGACCATATTTTACCGGGGGTTTTAAAATTTAAAAATTGCCTTGTAATTAATTTAATTTGCATAAAGCTTTTAAAGTGTTTCAAATATCTAGGCAATTTCTTAATAAATCATATGCTCTCTCTTTCCCCATATATATACGCACACACTTTGTCCATGTATATATATATACAGACACACAGATACATATATACATATTGTAATCTGTACCACTAGGCGTTCCAAATGCAGTTTGATACAAAGAATTTTAAAGGAAGAAATTGTTTTTATGCAGTGCTGTTTTTAAAAGGCAAATGAATAAACTAAAAAGTTGCTTTCAGCAGACATTCTACCCAATAATCCTTTTTCTCTCATCATTAATACTTAACCTGAAACATCAGAAGAACAAGCCCATTGGTGGAAACGGCACAATCCTGGCAAACACATGCATGGATGGGTGGCAGTTTCACAGACAAGAAGGAACGCAATGAATACAACAACAACAGTGCAGAGCCCAATCTTACTCCCATCAAACCTAATGTCAAAATCCCAATTAAATTCAATGGGAGCATGATCTGGCATCAAGTGCTTTAAACTGTTGGCTGAAATAATCACAGACAGATGGAAACAACAATGCACTGCAATGCTTAGCCTACCCCTTGCTTCCCATTATTCCTAATTGGCATCTTGAAAGAGCAGGCAAGGAAAAAACAAGTAGTTTAAGGCAGTGCACATTAGACATAGAAAATTCAGATAATAGTCTCTTAACATACAGGAATTTTACATAAAATCAGGATATTTAGAACTGAAGGTCCTCCAACTATCTTATTACGCAGAGAAGATGTGGACTTACTTAACCTTCTTAATTTCAGGGAACAGACAATGCAAGCAAGCAATGAAAGAAATGCAGATCAAAATGAAACATGCATGTTTTGGAAAGAACTAATATAAGCTACAGATACTAGAAGGTTCATATTCTTTGCAATGGTTAAAATTTTCTGTATAAATAAAGAACAAATCTGGGTTTAGTAAAAATATGACAATGAAAAAATTGAAATTATTAGGGAAGAAACTTAGGGGGTTTGCATGTAACATATCATTTAAGCATGAGGATAATAAGAAAAAAGATAAAAGATTTTAAGTGTTATTTATCCTACTGTGAGATTTTTATTCCGAAGAAATATTTGGTTACTAAATTAAGCCAAGGAATGACATGACTAAACTGACTGACCTTGCTTTTCAAATTCTTTATTTTGGATAATAATACATGCTGCAGCCCTGAATTCTATGCAGATACGTGGCTTTCCTAACACAGAGCTTGTTTTAAGGTAACATACAAAGAGTATCTTGATTTCACTGTTCAGGTGATATGCTAGCAAGTGATTAATTTTCACCCTCATAAAGCTCCCTGCTTTAATAATAAATATTGATTTCTTTTATACCGGGTGTTAACTGTTTCAAGAAATTTAGTTTTAACTAGTTTTATAATTTTTGAAGTAAATGTAACAGTCAGACTCAGGGCCAATTATGTAAGAGACCGCATAGCAATTTCCAGCTGCAAACCACTTCAATTTTCCATCAGCTCTATTAAGATATTACACAATGTTTTATCTCTCCAAACTGACTACTGTGTTCTTTCGTAAAGAATAAAAATAATTCCATACGTTGGTAAAGGTAAATTCACCCTACAAAAAAAAAAAAAAAAAAAATCAACCAAAACAACCAAAACCCAACTCAGCTCCCACCTTTAAGATACTAAAAGGCCTATGCAAAGAGGATGCTGCTCCCTATTCCTCTTCAGATTTTTCCTTCTCTCCTAAGGGTAAATCCAGAATTTCACAGTTCGCCTCTAGAGGCTATCACTGTCATGTTCCTCCCCGCCACCTTTCTTTCCC